TTCTTGCCTGATATGTTTTAAATGTGTTTCCTGCAAATGTTTATATGTTGTAAACTAAATCCTCACATTTTTATGTTAATCATATTGGGAAGTGAATAGAATTAGATGAGGTCACAAGTTTAGGCCACCACAGTAGCATTAGTGGTTTTACTACAAGAGAAGGAGAGATCCAAGCCAGCATGCTTAACCTGCTTCCATGTGCTACCCTCTCATGTGTTATGATGCAACAGCCAGACCCTTAACAGGTGCTGAGCAGCTTCCAGGTGTTTTTAGACTTCTCAGCCTCTCAAACTGTGAGCCAGATAAACTTTGATTCTTTGTAAGTCATCCAATTTCTAGTATGTTATAATAGTAACAGATAATGGATAAGGACACTACCCTTCAGGGTTACTCTGTTAATTGTTTTCTTTTCAAGTCTGACCTCCAGCTTCTGTTTGATTCTGTAAGCCCTTTCTTTTCTGATTAAGTGGCTGGGGGATAGTCCTTATTACTTTAGCTGAAGGTGTCTCTAAATGTGTGGCCTTATGGGATAATTTGTAGAAGATTCTAAGAGAGTCCTACGCTATCCAATTCCTAGTAGCTTTGTACCAGTCAGAGTAAATCATTGATCATTGTGCTATGTCCACAGAAGTTTTCCAGCCCCTACTGAGCATCTAAACTTTTGGAAAAGAGCATCGTCCATGATTACAAACTTAATTATAAACAGCTGTATCCTTAGAAGTACTTAATTATGTGTGTCTTTCTGCTCTCAGAAATAGCCTGGCTAGGTTATCAGCTTTTGCTCTGATACATTTATGACCTGCTGCTTAATACCTATCCAGGTAGCTCATCTCATTGTTGGGAAGGTCCTTTAGGAAATTCGTTCTTTTCTTTAGTTGAGAGATTTTTATCCCAATAACTTTTCTCACTAGTTTCACCCTTGCTCCATGGAACTGCACACAACAGTGAGGCTATATTGCAGAGATCAGAAATTTTGACACTTATAATTAGGTTTAAGTTTTGGCTGGACTCCTTACCAGCTATCTGACCTTTTAAAAATTTCATTTTGAGTACCCCATGTGTTTCTGTTTTATCATATGCATAATGAGGATAACAACCCTGACCTTGTAGGTTATATATATATGAACTAATATATGTAAATGGCCCAGGAGAATTCTCAGAACAGAATGAACTTGAATAAATGATAGTTAATGATGACAGTAGTCATGGTGATAATTGTAGCACTACTAAAGTTGTTTAAATTTAAATATCATCTCCTTTAGGAGGTAGAGAAAGATTTACACTTCCTGGAAATGTGTGGTAGATGCTTTTTTTTTTCAGAACCGGGGATTGAACTCAGGCCCTTGCGCTTGCCAGGGAAGCGCTTATTCCACTGAGCCATTTCCTGGCCCCGGTAGATGCTTTTCTTCTGCTCCTGTAGCAACCATTGCTGGCCGATCACAGTGGCAGCAGCACAAAATGTAGTAACCATTGAGTCTTATCTTTCCTACTGGGCCATAAATTGCTTTTATTCCTGTGCCTGACAAAGAACCTGGGTTACAGTTGTTGAGTGAACAATTTCTATCTAATACTGTTGAATTTTCACATTCACCCAGCCACAGGTGGACTCCATTTTCCAGGGGTAGTGCTGAGAGTAAGCTGTTACTTCTAGTCATGTAGCCAATATTTAACCAGCCCAGTCCAGGCTCCTGGCCCTGGGCTCCATGATTCTTCCTCTTGGCCGTGGTGCTTCTAGGAAGCCTCTTTGATTA